TCTGTTAAGTGGTTATCGAGATGGTATCGGAGCAACAGCAGATCCACCAAAAAATCTTGTACGCTGTCGTGGAAAATCCAACTGCGTCCCACCCCAAGTAACAATTTGGGTTTTATGAGGGTACTGTAGACCATGATTTAGACTTGTAGAGTGCTTTAAAACCTCAATAAAACTTACAATGTTACTTGGGACAGGTGGATCGGGAAACAACTGGGAATCTATTATTTGACGATTTTCCGAGTGGTGAAGTCATTCAAGGAGACCACCAGAACCACAGGATATCTTTTTAAAAATCCGTAAGTGAAGTTCTCTAAATTCTCGTTTTTTTGATATATGATATGGTATGGAACTACCATTCACTGTACCAAGACAACTGTCGGTAGACTTTGGACTATCCTCGCCGTTCGAAATGATAAAGTTTAATAACCTCTAATTATACTCAACCTGCCATAATATGAAGGGTCAACAACGGTTTGGGTGAATCCGTGGTCATCGCACATGCATCGATGCATCCACGGAATAAATGAGAATCTCCTTCAAACAACAGCATTTACAACCTGTCAAAAAACAGGCCATCCTACAGGACAATTTACCAATGAGTGGAGAGAAGAGCCCGTCCTCTATTCACGAAATGTTAAAGACAGGGAGTTGGCATTTCCACTCTCCCCATCCATTTCGCTTCAATCGGCTGGCCCTGGTGGACCCTCCCGTACCCAGCATATAATGTTTCATATAATAATGGAATGAAATTTAAGAGAAAAATAAAGGTAAGATCTCACCCGATATGTAGCAAAGGAATCCATGACATAACGATAATTTCGGAGAGCTCTCATAGATATGCTGTCGCTAATTTTTCAACGGGTGAGAAAAAGAGCACTATCACTACTTTTCTTATGTAAAAATGTCCAAGAAATCGATTGCGCTATGTCTCGTAGACGGCAGAGCACGAAAAATGCCTGTTTTACCCCAATTTCCCTATGATTTGTGAGTATAACCAAAAAGTTTCCATTATTTTTTGTAGATAAACCACACACGCTCATCAAAACTGCACTAATCTTATTTAAAAATAGCCAAGAAACGGATTTCCGTCAATAGTTTTCATATATGGCACTGTTAAATCCCGCTTTTCCACAATTTCCGTATATTTAGCACTGCACGCTGTTAATTGGATGGATTTCATGACTTTAAAAAGGATATGAATGACGAGATTCAGCTCAATACACCATTAAAAATATTCAAGAAATCGATTTCAGTAGGTATTAGTCACAGCCGAGTACGGTCAATTCTCGTTTTACCCTTATTTCCTTATACAATATAAGATTTGCTAAGAATTTCAACATTTTTTCAAAACTCAAACGATTGCAAATGATTAAGTAGCACTTTTCATATGAAAAAATGTCCACAGAATCGATTACAGTAGAAATAACAGACGGCAGACCAAGGAAAATGCCAGTTTGACCCCAATTTCGCTATACAATATAAGATTTGCTCAGAATTTCAACATTTTCTCAAAACGCAAACGATTGCAAGCGATAAAATCGGACTTTTCGCATGCAAAAATGTTCACAGAATCAATTGCAGAAGATTTAAAGGACGACAGAACAAGTAAAATGCACGTTTTACCCATATTTCCCTACAACATATAAGATTTGTTAAGAATTTCAATTTTTTTTTCTAAACGCAAACGATTTGAAATGTCCACAGTTCAACAAGAAAATTTCGAAAATTCTTGCTCAGAATCCGATTACAAGAAAAGTGGTGATGAAGAGGATGATTAATAATAATCACCAGAATATACGTTTCTTCAGATTGTCCATAAGGGCCCACTGATTTGTTCTCGATAGAAAAAAATGTTTAAGATACGTAGAACAAACTAAATTATTTAGTTTGAGTCACCATTAATCATGGGAAAAATTGGATTATACGGGCTTTTCTCGTACTCTGCCGTCTATTATACCTACTGTTATCGATTCTGTGGACATCTTTGCATACGAAAAGTACTATTTTATCGTTTGCAATTGTTTGCGTTTAGAGAAAATGATGAAATTCTTAGCAAATCTTATATTATACTAGCTGAGTGTGCCTGGCCTTGCTCGGAATTCAATATTAGGCTTGAGTTTATGCGCTGATTAAAAAAGCATGCTATATTTTCAATTTCATTTGTATGGAAGCCCCCCCCCCTTGCAGAGGGGGAGGGGTCTCGAACCATCATAAGAACCTTTCCCGGCCCCTGCATACAAATTTTCACGTTCATCGGTTCAGTATTTTCCGAGACTATAAGGGTCAGACAGATAGACAGAAATTCATTTTTCTATCATTTATATCATTATATAGATAGATAGATAGGGAAATTGGAGTAAAACAGGCATATAACGTACTCTGCTGTGATTAATGCCAACTGCAATTGATTCATTGAACATGTTACGGTATACTGAGCTGATGTTAATCAATTATATCCTTTTCAAAGTCATGAAATGGATCCAATTAACAGTATGAATTATCGGCTCCGTAAAGCTAACGCGATTGAGCCTTCCAAATAAACGAACTAGATAAAAAAATTAACAGTATGCAGAGGGATCTCAGCAGAGAAAAAAGGACTCCGTCTACTTTCCATCACCAATCACTTGCGACACAACGGCTTCAGTTCAGCAGTACACAGGTCTGGAAGACGCAGTGCCGAATGAATTCGTGACCAATGTCGAAATTAGAACCAGAACTCTAGCGACCGATAACAAATGTGTCTTATAGCGGCTACGGCACACTTCGATTGAGTTCTCTAAATTCTCGTTTCTTGAACTTAAACTCAGTTCCATGAAGTCAAAAGATCCTAATTGTCTCTGATATAATTATTAAAAAAAATCGCTAAAACACCCTTCAAACGAATTCTAATATCTAAATGTTCTATCGGGAGTCATTTTTCCATACATTTTGAGGACTTTAACAATAATTTTCGGATGTGATTTACTCAGAACAATACTATTACAATCAATTGTTTCATACTAGCCTCATATTGAAGGGGCGAACATAAGCTTTCATTTGGAGTCCCTGAGTTACTTATCTGAAGTTATCTGAGCCAATATTAAGTTGCCTGAACTTGTGGGAAGTTTCGTAATTTCCCTGAAGTTATTATTTTTTTCTGTAGCCTATACAAACTACAACCATAGAGGTAACTCTAAGTCTAGAAGGTCTCGAAGAAACGTGCTCAACTTTCTGGCTCAGCTCTGGTACTCTCTTCGGTCCCAAGCCAATCGATGCACTTTCATAGCGAATCAAAACAAACATAGTGTAGTACTAGAATTTTGACTACAATGGGTCACGTTAATCGATTTGCTTGGGACCAATAGGCTAGTCAAGTAGTGAGCCAATTTAAAATCGTTAGTTTCCACCGGTTGCTACAACTGAATTTCTACCAAGTTTGCTAAACCTGTACAAATTTCCTATAACTCATATCATGTTTCATGAACATTTACAAGTTTACCTAATCTTAACTTCTAGAAAAAAAATCTCGACTTCTTATGAACTTATTTAAAATTCCATTATTATAATTCTCTTAATTCGACCAAGATCTCAGAACATCCATGACCTTCTACAAAACCCTGAAACTATTTTATGAATTTTCCTTAACATCTGGGCCATCCCATAATTTACCGTTAATTCCCAAATAAAACCCTACAGTTCTAATAAGTTTACTAAACTTCTACGATACTCCTCTGAGCTTCTACAAAATTCCCTGCACTTTTACGAAGTTCGCTGAGTTTCTACGAAATTTCCTGAATTTCTACAAAGTTCGCTGAGCTTCTTAAATTTCAATAAATTTCTCTTTTAAACTGCCCTTATGGAACGCGATGATCGCATTGTAAAAGTGAAACAGCCAGGCTTAGGGGCGCAAACTGCTCGTTCACCACCTAATGAAAAATCCCGAGTGCGGCTCTGCTCCCATGCGTCTCCTTTGTCCACCTTGTCACCAGTTTACTTCACAAGCTCGGGAACAACCTCAGCTCATTTTACTTTCATCAAAAATAAATGCGTTTGCTAGTGAACGATCCGGAACAAACAATTCTCACCCACAATGACCGTACCTATATTAGACGACAAGGGGAAGCGTAACAGGCAGGCAGCCTTCCTCAGAAAAACTTTTCCGCATCTCGAGAAACTAACCGACCAAATCGTGTTCCACGGAAATGAGAGGGTAAAACTCGTTGAAAAGGGCAACTCATTTTCATGGTCTGTGTTTTCCGGTGCCAATTTGGATGATGGAATGAGCAAGGAAACTTGGCGAAAGCGCAATAAATTTGACTATCGTCGTCGTCATCGACGGACGTTGTTATCGTCGGTTGGTAGCGGTCGAACCCGATTTGCATATCTATTTTCCTCGCAGTCTGCTGTTTCCCTGATGGGGGTTGCGTCTATCTCCATAAGGATGTTTGGGAGAGCTTTTGTTTGTGAATGAAATGGTTCGCAATGAATGAATTGGACATTCGTCTCGGAGATAGGAGAGTATACCACTTCCTTTGCTTGGACGAATCAACTGTTCTACACTTTGGATTGCGTCTAGGCTAATTTGCTTCGAGCAGATTTCCTCTGTATGCACTGTTGTATAGCACACCAAACTCAAATCAATTTTCTTTTACGAGGCAACGGGCGGTTAACCACACAATGAGAGTGATTTCTGTTTCTTCGCCAAATATTTAGCAAGGCACACAAATAAAGTGACATGTTTGCTGGCAGGCTACGGGCAAACAACGTGCCCGTATAATCACAACTCTATTGAAACGATACATATTGTCGTTTGGCAAGCAATAAATCAGGATATCACACACTGTTTAATGGCTTTTGGCCTGGTTGGAGACAAGCTTCGACCAATTAAGCTCATTCTTCCGCAAGCCATAGTGCTTTTGTTTTAATTGCTTCCATCCTAAACCCCCAGGTCCAGATTGTATCACTCCACCACACGTGTGATCTGATTTATGGCATTCGGTCAATGTCCGGACAGCACTTACCTCATCGCATGAGTTACACCGGGGCTTCAGCAGCTCGGCGTAGTGTCGCTCGCAGTAGATTTGATCGTCGTGGACGCAATAGGTCAGATCGACTAGCAGCTCATCACAGGTGGTGCACTTGAAGCATCTAGGATGCCACAGGATTTGATCCCGGAACTTGGGTGCCGTCACTGCCATCTCGCCCTGATTCAGCGCGTCGCCGCAGCCAGCGCATTGTGTCTTGGCCGGGGTGTCTTTTACGTAGCCTAAAATATGATGAGGGGAAAGGAATTAACGATTGGAATTTAAATCGAATAAAACCATAGGTACCTATATCCAATGCGATTTCGTTGCGAGCCGCCACGAAATCCTCGTAGGAACTTCGATTCGATTCCTCCACGTGCTTGCAGTAAGCTTGGGCGAGGTCTTGCTTTGGCAGTTGGTAGACCAGCTGTTTGTCCCGGAACCGTTCGCCCTGGGTGCCGATCTTAGGGACCTTCTCCGGTGGGATCACGTCGAAGTACCGTTGGATCTGTGTGCGGAATGGAAATGTTCAGTAATAAGGTGAAAGGATGCCACACGAACACTGCTTTACATAGACCCCGGATGGAAGAAAAGTGCAGGATCTTCCTTGCATCGAACTACGTTTACGTTCAATCTCTCTCTTTCTAAATTTAGTCCTTATACGCTTTTAATGAAGCGGTTCTCAATTTTGCATTGATTGCATTCTTTATCGCGTAAGTTTACAATTTCGCAATCCATCACGAACAGTTTTAAGGCTTCTATATAATGAATTTAGTATAGTAAATTTAATGAATTCAGTACATAGTAAGGGTGACTTTGGGTCAAAAAATCAAAATTGTTCGTACCCTATCTTACAACATTCACATTTTAGTAAGGAAAGCAATTTTAAGAATATGAATATATTCATCAATGATATTTTTACGACTGTCGTCGAAATGTTTGATTGAAATTGATATCTCATTTCACGAAAATTAAATAAAAAATAGACTAATGTAAAATCTTATGAGGGGTTCCATTGGGCCAAATCATAAATTTTGTCAAAATATCATAAAATATTTAAATGTAACGTAGCTATTAGGAGTACACTGCCCATAATCACATATCAGTCCCATATGAATTTTCTTCAATTTTGAGATAACAACGCTTTCCACTTTCATTTTATGTTTTAAAACTACGCACTTAAATCATGACAAATGTGAAAACAACATCAAGTTGGCATCCATCAAAGTAATCGCATAAATATCAGTCCCATCCTGAAATTCAATCGTCCAGAGGACAAGTTACAATTCCGCTAATTGAATTCCCATATTTTTCGCTGATACAACAAAACATGCAAGGTCAATTACAACTGATTTTAACTTGAAAAAATTATCAAATATTTACATGGAAATGGCAGTTCGTATCCAGTGCTGGGGTTGTGGGTAGTCATGGGGGAGTCGGTGACTACTTAGTTGCAAAAATAGGTAAAATACAGCCATCCAATGAGAGCAAAATCTCCCCGCAAATGTTAAATATTAAAAATACACTGCACCCAAGTCAGTCCTCTCGAACACTTGCGCCTCCAATAAATAAATAGCGTCTAACAAACATGTTCGGGTAAATTTTAAAATCAGTAAATTTGAAATTACAAATTCCGAGAAAAATTATCGAAATCATAAAATTTGAAATGTTTTGCGTCCCAGATCAACACGTTCTGGAGAACATTTTAAAAGGATATATTTGACCAGGAGCGCATGGTAAGCATGTTTAAAATGATTAAAATCGTTCAATTAAAAGTGGATAGCGCCCCTAATATACATATTCAGGGAAAAAAAAGTTCAATCTGGAAAATCTTAAAAAATATACATAAAATTTGAAATAGATAGCGCCCCTGATAGACAAGTTGTGGTAAAAGTGGAATAAAAATGTTAAATTTCAAGTGACTTGCACCCCTGGTAGACAAGTTCGGATGAAAATTAGAAATAGCTAGTGCACCTGGTAAACATGTTCAGGTTGAAATTTGAAATAGTCTGTGACCCTGATAACCAGGATCAGGGATACAAAATTGTTAAAATAGAAATTGCGCCTGATAAACATATTTTTGATAAAAACATTAAATTTGGTTCAGGGAATTTGATTTAAAAAATGTCAATGTCTCAGGTAAACATGTGCAAATTTATAAAAAGCAGGAAGATTTTTTTAAATATAAAATTTGAAATGGCCTACACCTCTGGTAAACATGTTCGGGGAAAAAATGACAAAATCTTAAATTTTAAATGACTTGCGCTCTTGATAAATATGTTACGAAAAAATCAATAAAAAAATGTTAAAATTGAAGTGCCCCGTGCCCCTGATCGGGAAAAAATTTAAAAAAAGGTAAATAATACCACTGAACTGTTAAAAAGTTCATCTGATTGAGGTTAACCACTAACGGTGCAAATCCTGATTGGTGGAAAAAAGTTGGCTACTTAGTGGTGTTAAATAGAAATTTTGACATGATAATGCTTTCCAAATTCTTTCAAGGTGAGGTATGGGAGAGAAGTTTGGAATCATATAAAAAAGATCGACATCACTTCGGAAAGAACTGAATCACGTCATAGAAATTAGGAATCACTTTGGAAAGTACTGAATCATTTCAGAGAGCACTGAATAACTTATGAAAAGTTCGAAATCACTTCAGAAAGTACTGAATGACTTCAGAAAAGTTTGGACTCACTTCAGAAGTGCTCAATCACTTCAGAAATGTTTTCAATCACTACTGAACCATTAAGGAAAATATTGTATCACTTTAGAACTGGTCGGAATCACTTCTGAACGTACTGAATCGATTAGCCTTTCATTAATTTTGGCTAAGAAAATATTTTATGAAATTATGGAATAATAAGATTATATGATAACATTTTGTTTGTGTAAGCAACAAGAAAATATTGTGAAGTTTGTGTCTGACGCATAATACGTGCCAATTTTGCTACATTAGCGTCGCAATAAGCGGTTTTGTCATTTATCTCACCCACTCTTCGCTCTTCACTCTTTGCGAAGAGACGATCAGAAAATCGCTAATTGTGACTCTGTTAAAGCTGAATTTGCATGTTTTGTGTGTCAAACATAAACTTTACAATCTTGTCTTATTACATACACATACAAAGTATTATCATAATATCTTATAATTCCATAATTTAATAAAACATGTTATTCGCCAAAATGAATGGAAGGCACCCTGTCAGAACAGTTTAGAATCACTTCAAAAAGTACTGAATCACTTCAGAAATGTTAAGAGTCACTTCGCAGAGTACTGAATAACTTAATAAATACCGGAAACACTTAATAAATATTCGAAATCACTTTGAATAGTGCTGAATCATTGCGGAAAGGTAATTTTGAAAACAATTAAGTCACTTAGAAATGCACAGAATCACTTCAGAAATGTTCAGAATCACTTCGGAAAATACTGAATATCTTCAGGAATGTTTGAAATCCCTTTGGAAAAGTTTATGATCACTTCGGAAAGTACTGAATCATTTCAGAAAGTACTGAATCACTTCGGAAAGTATTGAACCTCTTCGGATAATATTGAATCATTTCAGAAAATTTCGGATTCCCAGAAATTTTGTAATAATTTCCGCAAGAATGGAATCACTTCTATAATAATTGAATCAGTCAAGAATGCACTGAATCACTTCAGGAAAGTTCGGAATCATTTTGGAAATACTGAATCGCTTCAGAATGTTCATAATCAATTCGGAAAGCACTCAAATCAGATAGTACTGAATCACTTCAGAAAGGTTTGGAATCACTCCGAAAAGTACTTAAAAATTGCAGATAGTTTGTAATCTCTTCCGAAAGTACTGAATCACTTCAGGAAGAATTGAATCACTTTTGAACAGTTTGAAATCAATTCTGAAAGTAATGAATCACTTCAGAAAAGCTCTGAAATTCTTCGGATAGTATTGAATGACTTAAGAAAATTTCTGAATCCCTTTGGAATACCTTAGTCTTTCCAGAAAGTTTGTAATCGCTTCGGTAAAAACTAAATAATTCCGGAAAGAACTGAACAACTTAACAACACTTCGGGAAGTACTGTATCAATTCTCTCAATCACTTCTTTAAGAGCTGACTCACTTTGTAATAACTTAATCATTTCAAGAACGTTTATAATCCCTTCAGAAAATATTTAAACACTTCAGAAAAATTGGAATCACTTTGGGGAGCACAGAAACACAAAAAAAAAGTTCAAAATCTCTTCTGAAAGTACTGAAATACTTTAGAAAATCTCGGAATCAGTTTGAAAAGTACTGAATTATTGCAGAAAAACTTCAGAAAATACTGAATCACTTCAGATAGTACATACATAATTTAGCATGCGAATGATTAATCACTCGCGGTTTCTACTCCGTTATTACCAGATCACCTGACAGAGAAGCAACATATGATGCGTTGGACTAGCATGCATCAGCAATGTGTAAAAACTGGTGATCTCATATTTTACGGAGGCAATAACAGCGCTGGCTGCTTCCAAATGTAGGTCAATTAGACCGTAAAAAAGCGAGCGATTCTTCTCACTTCCACGAACTTTCAATAGTTTTTATTCACTTGAAGAAGTATTGATTCTTATCGCTAAGCCACCCAATTGTGACACATCGAAAAAGGTCTCAATTTTGGCAACATAGATGAAGTACAGTCAACTCTCCACAACTCGATGTACACTTCCTCGATATCGTGTTATATAACCATAATAAAAATGAGTGTCATGGCTACTGCGATAGCGAATTTGTATGGGATTGTTATTCTATAACTCGATAATTCTATAACTCGAGTTGTAGAGAGTGCACTGAGTTCAAAATCACTTCAGAAAGTACTGAATCACTTGAGAAAAGCTTTGGATCACTTTGGAAAGTACTGGACCATTTCAGAAAAAATAGCACGTACAGAATAACGTCAAACAGTACTGAACTTAACAAAAGTTTTAAATCACTTCGGAAAAATTGGAAACACTGGATCCGCTTGAAAAGCTTGAGCTCAGCAGGGAAAATTTTTAATCATTCTAAGATAGACTCACTTCCTTAAGTGTTAAATTTTCTGGACTGATTTAACCCTTTAGGCAGTAATGTCACGAGTTCTTGGGAACGTCTAAAACAAGAACCTGATTTAAACGTAATAACCTGGCACTGAAACAGTAAACGTATTGCCTATTAAGGTTTCCAAAGGTAACATCAATTGTAACAGCATAAACATTTCTTGTCATTATTTCAAAGCTTTGCGTAGCGACGATTGCGCACACATGGTCGAGAAGTTTGGCATTCCACTTTTGCTAAAAGTAGCAAAGGTTGGGTTCACGAGGTTTCCTACATAGATAAAAGTTTCCTTTACAAAAGTATGGTTTCTTGTACGGGAGCCAAATGGGATGTGCCATTTTGCATTATTCCACATATATTTTTATGGTTGCTGTTCTTTTTTGCTGACGATTGATTAATGTTATCTTAACAGCAGTCATAATTTATAACTACTAAAGATATCACAGCAACGTAGAAACCAAATTGGTAATGATTTGTAAAACGCCAGAGGTATTCTGAGTTAAACGCATAAAGCGAATCCATTATTATGTATCTATATATATATTTTTTTAGTTTAAACTATCATCATATCCATAATCTTCCCCTTATTTAGCCTAGTACTTGTGACTTAAGAAGGGGACCTCGGAGAAACAAAAAGTCCGTTGCACCATTGCTTCGGTTAGCACAGTAAGGGCTTCATACTGCGGAAGTTTTGATTTGATAACATACTGGTAGTTTTGGGAACTTTGTTTAGCCCATGAATGTTAAGGAAAATTCTAGAAATTGTTCAAGATTTTTCCTAAAATTAGGTATGATAGTATGATAAGAGATAAATAAGAAAACACAAATTATGGTGCTTGGAAAATGTTGACGGAACTTTCGGAAACTAATCATAATTTAAATAAGAAAGGATTTTGTAGATATTCAAGGAACATTAAAGCGATTTTCCGTGTTTTTGTTGTTTAGCAAATGCTACCTTCGCCACCTGTAGAGTACGGTGGTGTTCGATAAAGTGCAAATGTTTTGAAACGTACCATATAATATGGAATATTAGTATGGGAAAACCAAACTTTTTGTTCATTGTCTTATACCCTTTTTCCATATTGCTTTTCCGAAAATTTTCATAATTATTCTTACGGGAAATTTTCTAAGCTACAACTTTGCGCAACATCGTTTTTCAGCTAAATGTCAAATTAAATTGTTATTAATTGTTTAACAGGTTGATAATCTTATGGCATGACCAAGCAGCCATTTTGTGGGCAACACTGTATTCTGCAGTATGACATAGTAGCCATGATATTTGTGCTCTATTTTTCTCACCAGAAACACCAATGTTGCCTGCTGAACAGTTGAATGAGCATAATCATAAGATATCAGTGACTTGAATCATTAATAACTTTTGTTCCTTAAATTTTATTGAAAAGTAGTTGTAGCTGAGAAAATTTGCTACAATAACTGCTATAATTTTTTAAAGCATAGTGATGTGGTGAATTGTTAGATAGATATGAACAAAAACATAAGTTTTCCCATAGTAATTCCCATATAAACTTGAAATGGTTTGTGCCAAGTCAGTTTCTTACTAAAGTAGTTCAGATTGTGGGAGGCTAAGTAGAACCCAATTTGGAACCATTTTTGCACTGTGGAGCGAAAATTTCAAATTTTGCATAAGTCTAGAGTATGATTGTACTTGCCACACAAATACACTAATGTAAAAATGGTACTGGCATAGACAGCTCTCAATTAATAACTATGGAAGTGCATCTAGTTGAGAGCACGCGCTAAGCTAATATGCGATAAGCAATAAGCTTGGAATGCAAAGAAGAAGAAGAAATCATAAGGCGCTCTGGAAGTGGAAAAATATTCCGGCGAATAAAAAAAAAGGCTATATTGACTCAGGAAAATTGCAGGAATTTTATAGAAATGCTGAAAAGTTCACGGAGGTCCAGAAAAAATTGGGAAGTTCAAAGTTCTTTGGATGAGTTTTGAAAACTTCGAGAACCTCAGGGTAGTTCAATTAACTTCTCGAAAGTCATCAAAACATCAGTTGAATTCACGATCTTAAGAGAAGTTATAATTTAGAACAGTTTCATGCATATTAGGGAATTTCCGGCAACTTATAGTAAATTCCGAGAACTTTAGAACAATTCCATTAAATTCAGTAAAATAACGAGAACCTTCAAGAAGTTCAAAAAGAAAAATCCAGAAAAATCCGAGAAGTTAAGCGAACTTATGAGAAACTTCGAAATCTTCACAGCAGTTCCTAGAAGTTTATGGAAATGCAGAAAATGTCGGGAAGTTTTTAGGGCAATTCATGGAACGTCATCAAAAAAAGTAGCGAGGACTACAGGAAAGTTCCAGAAACTTCAGGAATGTTCCAAGAACTTCGGGAAAGATTTCAGGGTGGTACCGAGGATTATAGGAAATAACCAGTATTTATAAAAGTTTCATGAACAGACTGCGGGATAGTAATGGAAGTTCCAAAAATTGCAGGCACTCCAGAGAAGCTTTGAGAACTTCAAGGAGGCTCCATGAGCTTCAGGGAAACAGCTGGGCAGTGTTCGAAAAATCATTCTCAAATCTCATTCATTGCACCTTCCTGAGAGAATAAACTCGCGTGTGAATCTGGCAAACAATTCTCACGCTTGAGATTCTCATGCATATTCACGCACTCACACTCACAACGCCAAAAAATCATTTCAGCTTGGAAATCTTAAAAACCGCTCAAACGTCAATTGATAGCATGCTTATGAATGTTGTGTTAGGTTTCGTTTCCATCAACTGATGTTATAACAATAACTAACACCAAAATGTTAGGCAATGAACTTTTGAACCTGAAAACTCATCTTTGATTTTTGCGCTGTTGAATTTTGAAAGGCAAACTCATAGAGGAATAAACTCACGCAGTTTTTGAGTTCAGGCGAACACTGCTGCTGGAACTTTCAATAAGTTCTGAGAAATTCAGGGAAGTCTAGAGAACTTTGTTAAAGTTAAGAGATCCTTAGGGATGACCAGAGAACTCCAAAGAAGTTTAGAAATGTTTGGGCAGTTTCATTATTTTCAGATAATACTTAAATAAGAGAGAGGAAGAGTGAACTTCATAGCAGTTCCATCAATTAATTGCAGGAACTTTCAAGAAGTTGAAGTTTTTACGCTTAATTTAAGATGGTACACAACCGATCATAAGTTTAAGGACACCCCAAAAAAACCATGCAAATATGTTTTGTTCAATTTTCGATCTCCAAAGGTTATTTGAATGGTATGAATGGTATAGCATAAGGGAAGGTCCATTAATTATGTCACGCGAATTTGGCCTATTTTCAACCCCCTCTTCCCCCTTTGTCACATTTTTTATATTTTTTTTTATTTCCTTTATTTAACGTCGGTTCTGTTCCGCAATCTAGTGCCAATCACCGACGGACATCGATTGCCATCCATTGACGGCAACCGAATGTGCAGGAAGGCAGCTTCCACACCTGCGTAGGATATCGCACCCATTCACAACACACATGGGCCGGGACCAACGGCTTTACTTTCCTTCCGAAGGAAGACGTGACCAGAGATTTTTATGCCTCAGAAAAATTCCACCGACCTCGACTGGGGATTGAACCCAGACCTATTGGGGTGTTAGAAAGCAGTTACCGGCGCCGGCACATTTTTATATGGACCTTATTTATTTTTTGTAAGGCTCGTCACAGTTTCCAAACCCCCCTCCCCTCCCCCTAAAAGAGTGACATAATTAATGGACGATCCCTAAGTGTTCTACTACTACTTTTATTTCAAAATTTGACCAACCTAATTCTGAGAATATCAGTCACGATTCAGAGTAAATTTTAAAAAAATATTGTAACTTTGGGTGAACTTTAGGCACACAAAGTTTGAAAATTATATTGAACAATTTGCCCACGAGGAAAGTTCCATTCAATACCTTTCAAATGATTTAAAGAGAACGAAAATTGGACGTAACATGACAGAGATATGAAGTTTTTTTTTGGCGGTGTCCTTAAACTTATGCTCGGGAGTGTACATCTTATATCCACTGAAAAAAGTCAAGCCCAAAGACCGATACGTCGGACATGAAACATCGTGACGTTCCCTCAATTCTCGAAACAGCCCTGAAGCTTACGGAACTTCATAATACATGTTGTTCTATTATTTTCCCTTAAGTTCTCACATTTTTTCCTTAAGCTCATGGAAACGCCCATAAGTTATGGAAACAAATTCATCATCATTTTCATTAATATCATTATCGGAAGACCTTGCACATCTATTAATTTAAAAAAAATAGCAAGAAATTTTGACAGAGAACTTCTTAATTTTTTTTTTTGGAACTTCACAGCAGATCAGAGAACTCAGAAGAACGAAAATAACAAGAACTTTGGAGATCAGAGAACATTAGGACAGTTCAATTAATTTCGGAGAAATAAAAAAAAAATGTTAAGACTTCAGGATATTCCTCTGCCATTTAAAAAAAAATAAAAAATTCAAAAAGGCCCATTTTCTGAAAAAATGTAAATGATTACGCATAACACACAAAAATGCAAAGTTGTATGCAAATCAGGGAAGGTCGAGTTTTTCCGATTCGTCATTTAGCAACCGCCCAAAACACTTAGTTCGGAAAATAACAGCATTATTTCCCATCCCTCGTCGAAATCTTCATCATATTGTTACTTCCTATGTTCGCGACAGAGCTATTGAAACTTAAGCTTTCTAAAGCAGACATCGTGTGAAACTGTTCGTACATTTATTGCGTGCATTTCATGTCTTACCTTCGCCGACGTCAGTATCCCCGGTGGGACCCAGGTGTAGCCCATCTGCCTCGGATCCACCCGGCTGGTATTGGAGTCATGTTTGAAACCTAACCGCTCGCGAACCGAAGTTAACTGTTCATGGTAGACGGCATGCGTTTCCCGCGGACATTTACACTCTTGGCAGGTTTTTCTGTGTGCGAGATGGAAAGAAGACATACCTTGTTAGTATAACAGTTGACTAATCTAGCCACCGCAAGGTGGCAGGAAATTATATCAATGCGGAGAAATTGGCACAGTTTCGATGGAGACGCTTGGTCCGGCACTGAACCCGACCAGCTGATTTCTCTCGCGTCGCTCTCGTCTTTAATATTTATTTATGAATGAAGGAGCATTGCAATCGCTCCCTCTCTCTCTCTCGTTCTCTCTCGTTTGCTCGTTCGCAGCGGGATGCAGTTCATTAGCACTCGGAACTGATGCGGGAGAGCGGAGATCATTATCGTCATCGTTATCCGCCGTAGCTCCAACCCTCGACTCCGACTACTCATCCGTTTCCGCTTTTTGCTTTGCTGCAGAATTGCGCGCACGGTGATCGTAAAATTTAATTGAATTAGCTCGTAACGGGGAGGGCAATTTGTAGAGTGCATGGAAACAAAACCTCACGTAAACGCCTTGTCACCTTCGGGATCCGGGGAGGGAGGGAGTGAAAGAAAGGGAAAATCAGAACCACTTGGGGAGTAAGGATTTACAGTTTGGCACCACAAGAGACCGAGAGGGGTCGATGTTGTGAAGTTGGTTGTCGGAAACGGTTAAGCCCTGAGAGGACGCCGGCACCAGTTAAATGAAAGTGAGTTTTACAGCGTCGTAAATTTCAACTTAGATTGATGCGTGGCTGTAATGGGAATTGATTTGAAGAGTTAATGAAGTAATCTCTTCATTTGAATAGACTTTTCAGGCGATTTATGTTCCGATGCCCAATTGACTGATAAATGTCCATGAACCAGCGTGACGAAGAAATTAGAATATTTAACCAAAAACGTGCTTTTAAAAAGTTTGGCGAACCACGGTTTTTTGAGGCATGGTTCGAAAAATAGTTCTAATTTATTTGCCAACTTGGTTCTTGACCATTCATCAGTTGATTAAACATCGGATATAATAAATATTAATTCAAGTGAACCGTGACGAAATTTATCGCGCAAAGTCCTCGTTTCGCTACCCAAGACTAGTTCCAATTAACAATGAACATTTCAAAAGGTCCTATCTGCTTTGATCGAGTTGATTAAGAGAACTTTCTCTTTTAACAACCACAGCTATACAAACAGATTTCATGCTATTCCTGCAACTTATTTTGATAAATGAGATTCTCAGCTAGCATCCAGAACATCAAACACAACACATTAACGAAAGAAAAAGTCACTGAAGAGAATCGCTCAAGGCAGATAAGACATTTAGAATTGTTCGTCTAGAATTGTCATTAGGCATTTGGTGTTGGTCTTACTAATGAATCATGATTATTTATCTTTCTTCACTTTTACGCAGCATTCACCACATTTCCCAACCATATCGAAGCGAAAGTAACAAACAAATTCTCAACAATCAGAATGCGATCCTGTCGTCGTCGTCGTCACATTCATTCTCTTACCATCAGCACGGCACACCAACCACCGCACATATTTTTATTATTATTAGTCTCCTCTCCAATCTCAGCTCTTGACGAACGGCGGTCGGTGGTGTGGTTGAGGTTGAGGTACATTTAATGGTTTGTTTTTCTGCTCATTTCGTTTCAATTTCACTGCTCCACATCCTCCCCCGGGAATCGACCAATCCACACCTCGACCGACCGGTCCATCGTTCGCTGCCACGTCGCTGAATATTTATGTTATTCTTTGAAGCCCAAATTGTTTTCCATCTTGTTATCCAATACTTCATTTTTGCACGGATGCTTGGCCGTTGGCATCATCGTCATTGATCATTTGTCAGAAAACCACACAATCACAATGGGCTTCGGAATGAGATCAACATTTTTCTCGTGAATATTTGCAAGCACTATTGCAGTGAACTTGACTTTGACTAGCATTACTAGCGGAACGAGGAAGGCATTCTTTTACGATTGTGTATTTTCTTTGGGTGATCCAAATTTAGAACCAACATATTTCTAAGAGCAACTCATGAATGGCATCCACCGCCGTGTTTCGTAATGAGGATCTTGCTGACGCAGACCGGCCATTGGACAGATGATCAAGACACGATGGTTCCAAGAGATGGTTTGCGGACCACACAGAGGAAGAGATGAGAGCATGAGAGGCAGACGACAACAACAGAGACACTGTAACTGATGAGCTTCAAATTGAGAAGCTCATTAGTCTGGATTCGCGTGTACAACAGAGATGTATCGTGGTTCGAAACTCATTAGGGAAAATGTCATGGTAATGTAGAAATTAGTTAACACGATGACACCCAGCAGAGGCGTGGGACAAGTGGTATTTTTGACATGTAGAGAGTGGTAGTTTTTTTTTAAATTAATGGCAATGATATTCAAAGTGATGTAACGTAATGCGCATGGGAAACTTACTTTAGGATATGTGGAAATCTTATAAGGCATTGTGTTCCAATGGCCGTATTTAGTTTTTCCATTTATTTCCGTCAATCATTTGCTCGTCCCCCTTTATGAGATATGAACATTCTAAATGGACACTTTTTTTTTTTTAACAAAAATCGTTTATAACTTTCCCACAAAAAAAGGGATAACCACTTATGTGTGGTTACAAATGGCTTTTATGTGTGGTTACTAGACTGATGCAAAATTTGACATTTTCGCTCCACAGTGCTCAAGCGGTTCCAAATTGGGTCTAGATTAGCCTCCCAAGGTTTGAACTGATTTGGTAAGAAACTGACTGGGCACAAACCATTTGAAGTTGATATGGGAATTACTATGGGGAAACTAAACTTTTTCTTCGTAGTCTTCTATTCTTTTTGCATATTGCACCGTTAAAAATTTCGAAAATTTTCTCAGCTACAACTTTGCGGAATGTTGTTTTTCAGCCAAACATCAAATTAAATAGTTATTAATTGTTTAAGAGATTGATAATCTAATGGCATGATCAAGCAACTATTTTGTGAGCAACACTGTATTCTGGAGTGTGACATAGTATCCATGATGTTTTAGCTCTATTCTACGCACCAGAAACACCAATGTTGCCTGCTGAGAAGTTGATAGATCATAATCATAAGACAATAGTGACTCATTAATAAGTTTTGATCCTTACATTTTATCTAAAAACAGTCTTCAACAAAGTTGTAGCTGTGAAAATGTACTACAAGTATAGTTATCAATTTTTAGAGCTGAGAAATAGGGTGAATTATTAAATAAATATGATCTCAAAATTTGGTTTTCTCATAGTAATTTCCATTTAAACTTCAAATGGTTTGTGCCAATTCAGTTTCTTACTAAATGAGTTCAAATTTTGGAAAGCTAATCAGGAACCAAATAGGAGCCGTTTGAACACTTTGGAGCGAAAATTTCAAATTTTGCATCAGTCTACTGGTGACACATGGCTTTTATGTGAACACATATTAATTATGTGTCCGACACATAGATATCATTTGTTGATCACATTCCAAAAATCCATGCGTGGGATACATAAAAAACAATCTTTGAGATTTTATTAGTGTACATAAAATCTGTTGCAAAAAACGTGAAAAAATATTCATTCGGAAAATTTTAATGAAAAAACCTTCATTATCTGTACCTTGGGTCAATTCCAAATTTTCGTATCTTAACAAAATTTCAATGGAATTCTGAAATTTGAAATGTTTTGAAACATTATACTAGTTTACAGCATTTTTGAACTCGGTAAGGTGATGATCATTTCCAATGCAAAATCCTACGCTAAATTCAATGCCGTGGTCAGAAAAAATTAAAGTAGAGCCATTTTTGAGATACACAAAAATTTTGATTTTTTTGAATTTTGGACAAAAGTACGATTACTAAAATGTCAATATCTTTGGAACTAGTGCACCAATTTTAAATCTTTTTTTATGAAAATGAAGCTAAATAAATTTGCTATCGTTCACTAGAATATTATGTCTTAATTAAAAAGTTAAATTTGAAGTCATTTAAAAATTTACAGCATTTTTTTTTTATTTTTTCTGCGAATTTTCCATAAAAATCTTGTTTTAATCAACATTTTTAATGGGATAAAAAGATTCAAAAAAATCATTCCATAATTTATTCTTAAAGGCCATTAAAAACTGGAGAAAATGAGCCTTTAATGGATGAAATTGGTTGGAAATTGTCGAAGTTATGAATTTTTTTGTAAAATCATGGAAATTGAATGTTCCAAGATTGGCCGTTGTCCCGCTCCTAGGTTCATGCACCACTTCCAGTAAGCCTTTCTGCGGACGTGTACGCATACGGTGCATTTCACTAACACTACCAGCTGTCACGCAAAATTAAATGGGATATTTTCAACAATATAATTTACGCGCTAGTGTTTGTGAGACCGCTCGACGAGAACCTAACGCAACCAACTCAATTTGACAGCTTTCTTTCTTTAACATTGCTTAACGATGTATACGACAAAACGTGAATTCAAGTGTCGTATCTTAACAAAATTTCAATGGAATTCTGAAATTTGAAATGTTTTGAAACATTATTTTAGTTAATATTATCAGCCTTTTTTTTTTTTGAGGGGCGGATCTCTAGGAGGGAGCGGTCATTGTAAAAATATATTCGACATATTTTGATGTTAGAGATGTTTTTATCACGAAATCCCAACCATAAAGGATGTTGCTTCCTTCCGCAAAGATGTTCAGGAATACAAGTTCTTCAAAACTATGGATAGTGTTATACCAAATTTACTTACTAGATGGCGCATAAATGAAAATGATTATATCTTAAGGATAAAATGTTGATCATTCATATGCTTGCTATTGTTTGTTTTCCAATTTGATTGTATTGGTGCTATCGGGAATATAAAGAAACGTGGAAAACCAATACTGCTACATTTTACGTTTTTCTTCAAATTTTTTATACAAGGGTTGTATTGAAATCAGGCTGTTATTGAGTCATCCTTAAAATAGGCTGACTAGAATGTTGCCTCTTCTTTTTTTTTTCCTTTATTTAACGTTGGTCTCTGAGAATGTTGCCTCTTTGAAAACATAATCTTTGATTTGTAGTCAGGTTTGCTGCCA